AGGCTGGTTAAGGGAAAGAGATACCAAAAATAAAAGTCAGCTTATGGTTTTGCAAACTCATAAGTTCACAGACTTAAGGTGAAGTAGTTCCCCTAAGTGACCTCCATATCAAAGCTGGGCTGAGCTGATTTGAAGTGGACTTTTTGAACACGTACATGGGAAATGCTCCAGAGAATATTCTTTAAACTTGCTTATGAGCATGCTTTGGTCCTCCAGGAGGAAAAATAGGAAGTTTCTGAAAAATAGGGCACATACTGTGGGCAACTTCTGTCCAGCATTCCAGTGGTGTTTCCTATCACAGCCTTGACCTGAATATATTAAAATTGGGGGTGGGGGGAGGAAACATTGTCTGAATGCTTCATTTTCGCCCTGGTCATGTTTTAATGTTTTGCTCATAATGCTAATTTAGTGTGTGTTCATAATGTGTGGGTTTCAGACACTGTAGTATTTTCCAAGAAACACCAGATTCAAATGATGGTAGAAAAATGTGCTAAAATAAAAAAAAAAGGTCTTCTAACAAGCCTTTAGCCAGCAAAAGGTGGCTGCATTTCTACTAGTTACTCTGCTTCTCACACTTTTTCACAGCAGTTTCAGAACTTCTGGACACCCACTCGCTCCTTGTTCTCGGTCAGTAGTTACCACTGTCCACACTTGGAAGAGCAGCATGAATACTTAACGAGAGCATACTGTAGGCAGTGGTCTACAGCACAACAAAGGAATAAATTATGAGAACTCCTCTTGCTATGGGAGGAAGCAGTAATGATGGACGTTTTTCGGCATCTGTTGGCAATTTTCTATTTAAATGAAGCCAGTAATTGAAAGTATCCCAGTGTGCTAAAGTTTGACTTTAAGAAATACGAGTCATTATAACCTGCTCATTCTAACAGCTACAACAAAAAGTTATTGTGAATGAGTCACATTTATATAGTAAGTGCAACACAATCAGTTTAACTCCCCACATATGGAATTCCTGTTTTAGTCTGGGAAAAAAAGCACAAAACTAAAACGAACGCAAAATTGGAAGCTCACAACAGAACATTGCATGACAAAGTAAGTAAACAGTATAAAGGAGCTAAACATGCCCTTTCGTGCATATCCTGACCACAGCCTCTCTTTGCCAACCAAAGGTAGCATTCATGAAAACAAATAACAACTACTTTAACACTTGAGTGAAAATGCCAACAATCCCTTGTGGGATTTACGATCCTCAAATTGCCCTCTCAGTTTATTTGCGGCCTCTGACTGGTTGTCCCTCTGATTATGCAGGTGAATTTAATTGGAAACATCAGAGCAATAGTAAAGTCTGTATTTTATGGGGGCCGTTGCTGTCACGCCATATACTCAGGGTCATTGTGCTCGCTGCCACGGAGGTGGTTTGTACGGAGGAGAAAATCTGTCTTGAAAATAAAACTGACTTGTAAAAGTTCTACATGTCACAGTACATAACTCCTTGAAGCTCGTTTTTATTTCCCTTTTCATGTGTTAAGGCATTACTTTCCACAGTTGTTTGGGACTTAGTTTAAATAAATAATACTTAAAGAAATACTTCTGACAGCACTGTGTTTATCCTTAAATGAAAAACCTTCAAAAAAAGAGGAGGATAGCGGAAAAAATGGAACAAAGAGTCTTTCTGTCAGCAGTAATTCATTTGAAAACATCTGTCACTCAAAATGATGTTTCTTGTCATTAGAAATTGGATGTACCTCTCCAACCCATATATTATATCAAAGACCTACATCTATACTTTCTTTGTAATTGAACCCTTTTCAAAGCAAAAGTTTATGAATTTATTCTGAGAGCAGTACTATAAAAGAGAGTGTATAAATATTTATTGTTCTTAATCAAGTGTTGTCTTTTCAAACATTCTATAACTGACACCCACAGCATCCAGGGACCTATTATGATGATGAATGGCTGTTTCTCTGAGAGAGCATTGATTGAACCACCAATTGGGAAAGAGGCTGATAGACTGTTTGAAATGGCACATTAAAGACACTATAACAATTACTTCCATATGCTCTAATGTAAAAATCGAAGCACTGTTTGTAATTCCCATGGAGTACAGATGCGGGCAGCACTGCTTTGCCCTTGTTTTTCTCGATTCCACTGTTTTCACTCCAGTATTCTTGTTTTCTGCAGCGGAGCGTCGGGGACCGTGTGAGGATGAATTACCCTCCCAACATCTGGAAGCATGCTTAATGATCATTAAAAAACAAGATGAACTATTCTCTCAAATGACAGGGGGAGGGGTACGCTGCGGTTTAGGTCTCACGCTCCCCTCACATGCGCACGCTGCCTTTGGTGACATGCAGCGCAGTCTCAGCGGAGACCCCGCCTGAGACCTTTAAAATTTAATTTGGCCTTGGTCTAAATTTATAGGCGACACTAAATTTACATTCTCCTGTGTGAGAATTTGGTGTCTTGAAATTTCTAAACCAAGTAGAAGAGAGATCCTGACAACTGATGCCAATTCCCCCCCATCACTGCCTTATTAAGATGTAAAACTGTTACCATGCTGCATCTGCAATGCTTATCACATTAGCATTTTGTAATGTGAGAGAATCTGTGATTAAACTCTGCCTCAGTTACCTAATTGCAGCTTGCAATCTTTTGCAATGCACTAACTGCTGCACACAATATCATTTGCTTCCACTTAAAATAAAAAATCCAAACAACTGGTTTTAAAACTCAGCAGGCTGTTTGTGGCCCACGAATAACATGGAGGTCAAAGGTACCTGCGCTCAAGGATGTTGAGTCACACACTTACTTCAGATGGTAAGTCAGAACATCCCCTTTCAATTATTCACTCACCAAACAGTAAAAAGTAGCTGGCACACCGATGTAACGTTTAGCTTTGCGACAACAGTCCCATTACTTGTACATTTCTGTGACTTCACTTCCTGCCTTCTGTAAAAACACGTTAATGGGAAATAGCAAAAATATTGACAAGACCTGTGTATGCATTCTGACACAAAACACATTGTTGGATTTTGTCAGTCTGTTGACAGTGTGTAGCTTTGTTTATTTGCTCTTTGGATAAATACTTTATTATCCCAGACAAATGTGCAATCACTTTTTTAGCTGGGTTACAAAGGTGCACCGGTGTCTTGTATTACGATAGACTGCTCTTGCATTTAATAGTCATTCTTACATAGACTTCATTCTGCTTAAAAGATCCTAATCTAATAGACTGAATCTAACAAAAGTTCAGCTTAAACCTCAACAGTTCACATGTGACATCAGCGTATGAACAATGCATTAAGCTTTACGGGACAGTCGCATACACTTCTATCCTACAAATACTTGCTTCCTCTCCAATTCTTATACATTAAAGTGGCAGAATGAATCAAATCAAGCATGTGTTTCCTGTTTCGGTGGCTCTGGTAGATATACAGGTCTGAGTTCACCTTTGTCCACCTTTGATCGTGCAGCTGCACCAGGTTGGCCGACATAAACACCGATGTACCGTGTGTGGAGGATGAAGTCCTAGTGTATTTCATTACCGTGTTTAGTTTATTGTCACACTAGAACAAACTGGAACATATCGCCGTAGTCAGAGTCTCTGTCTAAAGTTTGCAACGATGCTATACAATGTTTATTTATGACACACATCACGAGGGTGACATCACATCCTGTTTCATGACCGCGGGGCCATTTCACTGATGAAAGGCTGCTGCTGCACTTTGTCTTAACTCATCACACCTCGCTGCAGTGAGGAGCGGGCATACTTGACAGATTGTCAGTTCAGAGATGTATTAAAGCTTCAGTCTCATTTTTAACTGAGATTAAAATTGTGAAAGTTGGTATGGATAAGGGTTGAAGACGCTATTTGACAATTTGAGCAGCACGCTTCTGTGACCTGGTAGGCTACTTCTAGTCGTCTTATATGACTGGGGATGTTCAAAAAGACAAAAACATGCACGAAGTTTGTACATGGTGTAGCATCCCAATCCAACAATGCACAAACATCTATTAATTTGGTAGGAGGATCAAAAGCAGAGCGCGTAGCAGGCCGGTCAAATCGCCTTTGACATGTTGATTTGTAGATTAGGAGGAAAACACGAATAACCCAGCTTCATCATTTGCCATTTTGCTGGCTTTGATCTTGGGGATGCAGTAGTCAAACTCAGTCTGAGCAAAAAACTGGATAAGGAAGGAGGAGTTTTGTCAACATGGGATTTTAGATGTTTGGAAAATATGTCACTTAAAAGTAATCAACACATCAAGGAAAATTAACCATCACCGTAGGATTAAGTTGTGGGTGTGTGTGTGTGTGTGGTGAGGGGTCGGTTCTCTGTTCGGAGCTGCAGCAATTAGAGACAAACTTCTACATTTGGAGGCCATGTGCACTTTCCTCTGCGTCCCTGATTGAAATAAATGAGGCAAATAATTGGAAGTGTGGTCAGTTTACTGGGGTGAGGTCTATCTTGAAGCCTTTCACGTCTCAAAACAAACGACTCTATTTATTCAGTTTGATTTCAGGAGATATTGCAATCAATGCAACGATTAGAATGCAACAACCTTCGTTCTAGTGATTAATATTCACAACATTTGGGGGGGCAGAGCCATAATGGAGCTGCTGCTGCTGGAGAGTTTCTGGAAGTGAGATCTTTCAGACTTTTGTGTTTACTCGCTGACGAGCTGCTAGTGACATCTTGAGGAGCAGGATTAAACTGCAGCTGTGGGATAAAGCGACGTCAGCACTGCACGACGTGGAAGATGAAGCGGGGGAGGAGGCTCGACGAAGATGCTACGTTAAACATATTAGCCTTCAAAATAAAAGCGGCCATTTACGGGATCGCTTCCAGCCTCTCGTTTGTAAAATGAGACTCACTCAGCTGCGTAGATTATGTGCTTTACTTGAATATCTTTGCGTTTAAATTCCACCAATGCGGCGCACAATTAAAATAAAAATCACTCGAGCTTTTATTTTGAAGTGATACTAGTAAAGCTGCTAGCTGGCTGGATGCAGGGATTTTCTCTCTTATATGGAAAGCAGGCAGATCATGTAAACGATTCGGGATAAATAATCATGTGTGTGGCATGGAGTGATTAGCAAAGAGTCCGGCGCTTTCCTGTTGGATTTTTTCTACGTTTCAAGCGTGCTGTCTGTGCAAATAACGACCAGATTCTGTGTCGGACGACTGGACTTGGCTCCAAATATCAGGTTGGACTGGAAGCTAGCTGTCAGGTAGCAGCCCACTAGCCAGCCACATCAGCACCGCTGCTGTTAGCCACGTTAGCATCAGTGCAAAGCAAGCTGCTGTTTTGTTGCCTGTGTGGATTAGCATTTTTGTCAAACCTAATAGCGTCTTTGTGTGTGTGTGTGTGTGTGTGTGTGTTAGTGTCTGTCTTGCAGAGATTTCATGATGGCAGACAGTATCATGAGCAAGGCTGCAACCATGGAGATCCCCATTAACAGCAATGGAGACACAGGGACTCTCCCAGAGGATGACAGCCTGGAGCAGGTCAGTCACGTTTTACTCTGTCAGGGTCCTCATAATACACACATGATGGCGTTTTGTACTCACTGTTTGTGGCTCTCTTCCCATTTAAATGACATTACAGTCCAGGGCTGAGGCTGCTTAGGCCAAGTGTTACCTAACCATGCACAGGCCTGCAGCTATGGACAGTAGGAGCATACCACTACCACCATCAGTACCTGCAGCTAAAAGATGTGATTAGATCCATGAAGAAGGACATAAATGGTGAAAGGATGCTTTTGGAGTATGACCTTGTGTCTGAAAAGCTGTCTGTATAATCCATAACTTCAGTGCAGCCTTTATGTCTCATATTGGTACAGCCCAACAGAGTTCAAAAGGCTGCATGAGAAATGATGGAATAATATTATAGACATGCATTTATGTATCACCACGATATTGAATTAATGAAACAGCACATAAGCAAGTCATCTGAGTGTGATATGTGTGCAGGATTATTCAGTTTCAGTAAAAATAAAATTAAAAACAACTGCATGGTTGCACCTCGTTTGAACAAAATTACATCCTTTTTCATATTTTAATTTAGGAATATGGTATTTAAAATTCTGCACCTGTTTAGAATAATATTGCTTATAAAACTGCAGTGGATGAAATATATTAATAATGTAAACATGGAAGTTTAAACTTTCTGGATCCCAAAGATTTTTTTTAGATTTTTTGCCCAGTATTTTTTTAGCTGCACTGCACTGTCCATGCAGATGATGAAAAATGTGATTTTGGCCTTTAAAATCCATTCTCATTGCCAGTGTTTTGTTGTAAATCCATCAGGATCTGCAGCAAGTGATGGTGTCTGGACCCAACCTGAATGAAACCAGCATCGTCTCGGGAGGTTATGGAGGACCTGCAGGGGGCATCATTCCAACCAGCACCATCAAAGGTAGTCCTGTTAGAACTGACTGTCGTCCTCTACGGGTTGTTTTTCAAAGCACGTGCACAGTTTTCTCATAAATCTGAAGGTGCATTAAGTGACAGTAGCTGTATTGTAGTATAATATTATCCTAACAACTGTTTTGCATATGTAGCTGTAACAATAATAATATGGTTGTCGATCAATACTGATGACCTTGCAATTACTTTGCCCTGTGCTGACATAAATGCCTCGAAATAGCTCACTGTTCCATCCACTTTCTGTCGCCCCCCCGTCGTGTCTGCTGTCAATTGCGGCCTGCCGTGAGCCGTGCCAGAGATCTGTCAGTGGTTCTCGGGATCCTTCAGTAACTGAAAGAGGTCAATACTTAATGCACCTTTTAGGAAACCACAGCGAGAGCTTTTCCTCCATGTATTTTAATGTTTCACCAGAGAGCTACTGACCTCTCGGCTCCCAGTTTATATTACAAACATCCGTATTCCATAGGACCTGCAGTTTGCTTCAACCCTGAGTATCTGGACAGAAGAAGAGCCCCTGCACCAGGACCAGGTGGCTTAGTATTATCACCACCCTTTCTTTTTTTTTGTGTGTATTTAGTTAACCTTTATTTGTTGGTCTTTTTTTTGGCCCTCTTATAAGAGGTTTGGAATCGCTTGACTAAGGGATTTGTATGCAACCTTGCTTGTACCTATTCAACTCACAGCTTTAGCAACAAGAAATGTTCTGGCAGCTTTCAAAATTAGGGATGCACTAACCAGATATTACAGGGCTGTCACTTGAAATGTTGTACCGATGTCTCATGAGGATGTTCTCTTTTGTACTGTAAAATGTGCTTTGGATGACTATTTTGTCATGACTTGGTACTTACTTTTCATCCCTTGAAGTCCATTTTCATCTGTTTTGTAAATCCTTTTATTCTGCATGAGGAAACTGCATGGTGGATTATTATTGCTTCAAAACCCCTTTAACCTCCACTTATTATGTATCCTCCTCCGTGGAGCCTAACATTTCCTTTCAGTCTACACCCTCTGCTGTTCGGCCGCATATCTCACTGACACATATTTCACTGCACTCATTTTTTTTTTTACCCTTTTTTATGTCTTCTTCTTCTCATTCTTACGCTTTATCACCGCCATGCTCATTTCAGACATTCGCATGAAATCCCGGGGTGTAAACTTGCCTCACAGTCAATCCTCAGCCAGCCGACTTGCCCAACACACAGACCAGCATCCAGGTATCACCAGGCTCATCACCATGTCCACACTGTCCTACTTATTGTCATGACTCATGCAATTTCTGTAAACTGCTGCCTTGTCAACTTGATATCACAGTACGGTGTACATTGTTAATTTATTTTTTTCTTTTAGGGTCGTCAAACCATAACACTAATTCAACTGAAGAAGTCTCACGTGGGGTGGCAGTGGAGAAACTGGACAGTGTAAAGAAATGGGGCATTAACACATACAAGGTATTTGTGTAGATGCTTTGTTTTTAGAAGCGTTTATCCTATTTATCCTTGTTTGAAATAACTTTTGAGTGACATATAGCATTCAAGAGTCATAAAGTGCCTATATCATATTTATGAAGTATATTAATTGCCTAATACAAGTACATAGATGAAATTTTACCTCACTGAAATGACAGTTGATGAATTATAGTCAGATTTTTTGTCAAAAAGAAGCTACGTGTTTTTTCTCTACCATCAGATATTCTGTACACTGACTTTATTCTGGGTCTATTGTAATCTCTCCGTGTTCACTATGCAGTGCACAAAGCAGATGTTCTCGGAGAGGTTTGGCCGAGGCTCACGAACAGTCGACCTGGAGCTGGAGGCTCAGATTGACGTCTTAAGAGACACCAAGAGCAAGTACGAAAACATCCTAAGACTGGCCACTGCGCTCATCAGTCATTTTCAAAGCATGGTGCAGACGCAACAGGCTCTGGGAGACACATTCACCGACCTCAGTCAGAAGTCTCCAGAGTTACAGGTATAGTAACGGCTAAGCTCTCCACAGGACGTGACAGGACATGATGTTGTCAGGTATAACTCCTGTGTTTCTCTGCAGGATGAGTTTGGGTATAATGCAGAAACACAAAAGCTGTTGTGCAAGAATGGCGAGGCTCTGCTCGGTGCCATCAACTTCTTCGTGTCAAGTGTCAACACCCTGGTCAACAAAACAATGGAGGACACTTTGATGACCATTAGGCTGTATGAAAATGCAAGGTGAGAAGCCCTGACATGTTACGTAGGAGCTAAGGAAGATATTCTGAATGGCTGTAGGGGGATCACCTGCAAAATGACTGTGACACCCTTTCTTGTTTTTTGTGTGCAGACTTGAGTTTGATGCCTATCGTTCTGATCTGGAAGAGCTGAGTTTGGGTCCGAGGGATGCGGCTGCCATGGTCCGCATTGAGATGGCCCAGCTTGAATACCAGTTCCATAGAGACAAATACGAAAGGCTGCGTAGCGATGTCACCATCAAGCTCAAATTCCTGGAAGAAAACAAGGTTTACTGCACAATTTTGATTTTTTTTCTCGATATTCCTGCAGGTTCAAAGTAACATCCACTGAAATGTTGTTTTCGTGGATCTCCTGTTGTTTAACTTCTTGCCATGCTGCAGTGATGTCTCCATGACATCATTTGCTGGATGTGGTTATACATGCAACAGAACACAAAATTCACCACACCCAAACTCAGGGATTATGGATGCTGGGTGTGTTCTGAGGTGAAGCAGTCTTGAAACTTTTAACTCGGGAGGCAAGGAGAGCACTGCTTTTCAGTATGGCGTTGCTCCTTAAAAACAAACACTTAAAACTGGTTTGTGAATGTCATTTTTGAATGTGGACGAAAATCAGAACAATCAGAACAAGTTGTGAAATCATATTTTAACTAGATGGAGCATGTTGTGATTCATTCCAGTCTGTCATTGCTGTCTCACACCACATCGATTTGTTAAATGATGCCTAGATTACCGTGTTAAGTAAGCCCAGTGTTAAATGCTACTTCCAGCCGGTACATACTGAAGCAGTTGCTCATGGATGATTTTTGTAGAAGCAGAGTAGGCTTTGCTTGGCACCACTTCAGCTACTTCCAAGGTGCATGAAGAAGGGTGTGGCGGAGTTTTTAGGGCTGAAAATGGCCATTGTTCTGCCATTACGCATCCATCGAGGCTGAGAAGGTGAAAGTAAATGAAGGAGTCAGACCTCGTTGTCCACAGCTACAACCATAGTTATGCTGCAGATAATTACAGTAAACAGAGGTAATGCCGAGGCTTTGCCATTTTGACAGTTTTTGTTAGCTTAGTGTAAAATGCGGGAAAAAAAACTGCTTGTATTTATTAACAGAGAGAATACATGTTAGACGAACGTAATGTGCAAGTTATTTGTAGGTTTTTTTCTCCAGAAAATCTTCTGATTATCTACCGAGCTTCATCCCAACAGATGTCTGCAGGCTGTGCATTCCTCTAAACACTTGTGTTTGTAACAGGACATTTTTCCATCTTCTATTTTTTTTCTTCCAGGTGAAGGTGATGCACAAGCAGCTGCTTCTCTTCCATAATGCTATCTCAGCTTACTTTGCTGGCAACCAGCAGCAGTTGGAACAAACTCTAATACAGTTCAATGTAAAGTTAAAGCCCCCCGGATCAGACAAGCCATCCTGGCTGGAGGAGCAGTAATGAGCGCCCAGTGTTCAGCTATCTGAGATGTACAGTGACACGCTGGTCAGTGAAAAACTCAACATTATGGTTAGACGGACAAGATTTAAAGGAATAGAGGAGTATATTGTAGGATCCGTAGCAGAAAGAGATATCTCTTTTGTAATGTTTTCGGTATCATTTATTACATAGATGGAACAACTTTTTTTGTTAAATCACAGAATTACCTTTTGTTACTTTCTTATTCTTTTCTTAGCACAATCATTTACGTGTATATCACTTATTTATGTACAGGATAGTGGAACGTTGTGGAGATTCCCCTTGGCAGTTTTGCACATGCATTATTTTGTTGTTGTTTTTTTTAATGTTGTCTGAAGTTATCTTTAACATTTCAGTGTATATCGAATGGGAGGAATTCCACAAATCAGTTTTGTAAGTAAGTGGGACACTGCTAAAAATGTTATGAAATATCCTCTGAAATTGTATTTATTTTCTTTATGCATGCTCCAACCATATTATTCAACTTATGTTTTGCAGATTTAGGTCAAAGACATCAGGATATGGTATCATTTTAAAAGATGTCCCACTGTCTTTCTCCTGTGGCTTTGTGGAACACCTGCCTGAATGATCAGTTTACAGTTTACATAGAAGGGAAGATATATATAGTGAATATAGTGGTTTTCTCTAACCTAATATACAATCATAATTCGTTTAATCTCCTAAATTTTGGGTACCTTCAGAAACGGTATGTCATTATGAATCCAGCACTGTCGTAAGTATCTGTCTTTTTTTTTACTCCAGAGTTTACACATGGGAACAAACCTGAAAAACATCAGATCTAGTGGTTATGTTTAGCAGTAATCAATCCATACTTTAGATGCTTTAATACTAAATACAAAGATCTCAGTTATCATAAAGGAATCCAAATCAAAATATGCCTCATAGCCAGTATCTGTTTGACTGTGTTAATAGAAGGTGCCTGTGTGAAACTATGAAAGACAACCTTTGAGATTTATTCTTGAAGTCTCAAATTGGAAAACACAAATGGTGGATGGACATATTGGATACATGTGGTACCACATGCACTTTAGGTGACAATACAAATCTCAGTGTCTCTTCAAAGACAGAATGTATACGTACATTTATCTTACTTTGTGTTATTTTTTTTAAAAAATGTGTTTATAACATAACATTGTATGTTATTTAGATTCTTTTTCAGTTTTAGTCCGCTGATTGTCTTTATCTTGTTCTGCATTTCCAATAAAGTCTGCTGGATGTTTTGTTTCACTTAACTGTGCAGTCGACACAGGTTTGTCAGTATCCTACACAGAGAATGTACAGAAAACTCACAGTATATGTAATATGTGAATTATGTACATGATAATACAGTATGATACATCTATAACATGCTTTTTTTTTCTTATTATTTCTTATTATCTTGCTTCATATTTGCTGTAGGTTTTCTGAAGGTCCAGTTCAACTTGCTAGACGAAGGTATAAGTGAATCATTTTGAATCAAGTATTTTTGGTGATTTTGGCATTTTTTTGTCGCGGCTAGAAACTAACTTTTAATATAAGACTTGATTTAATACAAGACTATGCAAATTTCACCTCCAGTCAGAGCTAATACCTTACTGATTCTGTTACTAACTTTTGATATCAAGCAAAAACTACAAAACAGTATCTGAAAACAAACTCAGTTCTGCAGTTCTACAGACTATGTATTAGAGTACTTGTCAACCATGAAAATTA